ATATGAATCAGTATTAACTGTAGGCACCTTTGCTTTGTTGTGAACCCCATGAATAACAGCTGTATGGAGCTGTTTGATGCTGCCTATGGGGAATAACAGCAGCCTTCCAACCTGTCACGCTCTTACTTTGAATCGGGTTGTCTCTTCGTCTCCTCTGTCCATTCTTCTGGGATGAAAACAGTCAGAAACTAAAGCAGCGCAGCTCTCAGACTTCAGCTGACTGGTTTCAAACTTGTCCAGAGTGATGACAAAGTCCTTAAAATGCTGTGAAGTCTTTCAGCTCTTTAAAAACGCGGAGTAAATGTAGACTAATCGCTACTGAACGCTGCGAGGAACGCTGCCAACTGTTGACTGATGTTTCTCCACCAACTATCCAAATATAATGATGATGATGATGATGATGAACGTCACAGGTTAACTTGGTAGTTTTCTGACTCTTCAGTGACGTCATCGACTGAAGCTGCTCTGCTGGTGAAAAAACGTCACCTTGAAACTTTTACAGGTGAAGCATTTTTCACAAATCTTTGAAGGTGTAGTGACAGAAAGAGACCACGAGATGGCGCCATTCTTCACGTAGTGGATGCCGTTTGTTGGCTGTTTGGTTTCTGTTCACACCCCTCCACCAGTGTTTTACAGAAAGTTTCAAGCATTCCTCAGGCTCATGATTTCTGTTTCCTTTCTGGCCAAATTAAATTAAATTAAGGAAACTCGAGTCTTTCATCAGTAATTAGCTGTTTTAAACACTTTGCTTCCTAAAGCGCATTTTTGTTGCTTTGTTTGCTGAACTGTTTCATGGGCTAAAAACCTGCTGACTCTGTTCTTCAAATAAAATCTGTACTTCATGTTTTCCATTTGGCTTCCTGGATTGACATATTTCAAAATAAAAGCGTTGAACAGTGTGAGTGTCAAAATGTGTCGTGTAAGTGTAGAAATATTTCTGTTGTAGGAAAACAGGATAAAATGACTGTTTGGGGCTTGAGCTTAAACTAAAAATGAACTTGTAGAAGTCAGAAGAAGATACAAGCATGACTGCAAAACTTCATGATGGGGGTATTTAGGCCCAACATCTTGGATGTTTTCTACAGAATATCTTTTAATTTTTCTTTTGGGAATAAACTAAAATCCAACACCACCTTGGTCACACTGGCTGAGTTGCAGTGCGTGACCAGGAGTTGCCAGGCTGTTGTGGCTGTGTATGGTTCTTCCTATTTGTTAAAAGAATAAACTGTTTAATTGCAGATATTCTTCAGAATTCAGTAAATGACACCCAACAAGTGTCAGTAGCAGAATAAGCTGTCTGGCATTGGCAGAGAACATTCGACGAGTTCTTTAAGTTTTAGAGTGATAATAAAAGGCTGTTGGTTGCAGTCACCATAGCAGATGCTAGCACACGCTTCATGATCAGGCAAGCGAGGGACGCCCTCATCGAAGTTCACTGGGACCAGTGAAACTCTCATTTTTGTCTGAAGCAGACGTGGACAAGTTTACACATTGTTTGGCTCTGCAAATATTAAAAATGTTAACAAACAATAAGTGTTTTGTCAGTGCTCTAGTATCCACAGTGTCACAATAATCTGTTTGTACCTTTACACACTGGACGCTGTGTGACTTGCTCACCGTGACATTGGCATTTATAAGAAACGGGTTGGTTCCCTCTGCAGGCGTCCTGCTTTTAAAGCAGTCATCCAACATCTGGAACACTGAAAGGTCAGAGCAGGATCTGATGGAACATAGAAATGTTTTAACACGGGAACAATTCCTATTCAATTAGAATAGGACAGAACGTTATTAATCCTTTGGGGAGGTCCCCTCAGGGAAACTACAGCAGCACAACACCAGGTCACACTAAATGCAAATAAGAAAAAATACCAAGCAGGTAAAAATAGTTAAGATCAAAATATCAGCAGCTCACCAGCTTAATCTCTCAGGCTGCACCGTGTGCTCATGGTGACAGAGGTATTTTTAACCTTATGTTGAGGCCATGGCTCTGATTCTCATGATGAGCGACGGTGTCCCTGTGTTGGTGTTGTTCCTGCATCAGCATAATTATAATAATAATAATAATAATAATAATAATACTGATGATGATAATAATAATAATAATGATGATAATAATAATAATAATAACAATAGCAGGGCACTTTCTTTTCCCCCACAGGTAAGTTTGGATAGGTTCTTTCCATTCACAGATACTTTCACAGCACTGCAGCTGGAGTGAAATTGGAGTCAGTAACGGGAAATTCCTCAAAAAATATTATTTGTATTTAATTATTTTTATTCTTTTATTTGCTAACTCTACTGCTGTTAACTCACATTTATTACCATTTCTGATTTTAGGGATGCTTAGCTGCCTGAATCTCAACCTTATCCTTCCATCCTCTATCCGAACGATCCCGAGTAAGTATTGCTGTAAAAAAGAAAAACCCCAAAACAAACTTGATAGATCCTGAGGAAGTCAGTGTTGCAAAAGGTGGAAACCTGTCAGTGTCCGGACTCTTTGCTGATTTTACAAACTGCAACAATGGTTTTGTGTTCTCAAATGATGCATGTCTCATGTTTTGCAGACATTCTGTGATTGCATGATCGGCACAGACGTCAGCATCAGATAAATTATTGGGAAGCAGCGGTTGTGTGAACTCCTTATTCTGTTTGTTTCCCGGCAACATGAAGCCGATGAACTGAAAACCTGTTATATCACCTGCAGCTTCTTACAAATGTAACTGGACTGCCAGGGCTGCCAACATGTCAGCAGCCAGGGCAGAGAGCCGTGCCCACTCCCTTGTCCGGTGCATTCTGGGAGTTGTAGTCATACTCACCTAGCCAAAACCCCAACAATGCTAAGAAGCTTTTATGTGGTTGAATTTGTCCATTTCATAAGTCTGGTGGTGCAAATACACAATTCTTTTTTTCCTTTTTTTAAACAGACCCTAATCAACAGCTTTTCAATGAACACAGTTGTGCAGATTTCTTAGCTTAAGCCTTAAACCCTACAGCAAGCTATCGATATTAGGTACTTATACTTAACATAGAAAAAAGTCTTTGTTTTAACCAACGTGTTCTGACCAAGTTTGGTCCACGTTATGCTCAACAACGTGTGCAGTCCATGCCTTCTGACGATCTCTGAGGGACCGATACGTAATATCGGATCGGCCCATCTCTAGTACATAGTTTGAAAAAATGCAAATAGAGTTGAAATATTTACGATTTTTATTTACAAAACTTTAACAAAGAAAATTTCAGCAAGTTTTGATTGCTGAAATTTTTCAGTTTCATATAAATGTAGTCTATAACTTTATTTTCTGTGGCCCACAAAATTAAACATTTCAGTTACAGCCTGTATAATAAAGATGGCACAAGTTTAACTTTCACGCTTTTTTGTTAGAAAAAAAAAATCTAATTGTTGCTTAAATTTACACAAAATGTCAAAAATCTGCAACGACACGAACAATTTAAAGCTAATTTTTCACGACTTCACCCGGTGAGGTCCAAATGATAATTTGCTAGTTTTCACTTCTTTTGATTTGATGAGTTTCACCTTCAGATTGTTCTTTTTCTTGTTTGGCATCATTTTCAGCTCAACCTCACGTGTCTGACTTTAGTTATTTTTCATTGACATGCTGTATTAACACAACTGATCTGAAATCACACAAAGTCCTAGTTTATATTATTTTACTGTAAAACCCACAGACAGGTTTAGGAAATTATTTTCAGAATTTGAAATGCAAATATAAATTGGAAATTTAGAAAAATTATGCACAAACAATAAAGTTATATACAACTATTTATCTATAAATGCAGCCA